AAAACCGCATGATTTTTTAAAATTTTATTTTATTTTTTGGTGCCAGTCCTGGGGCTTGAACTCAGGGCCTAGGTGTTGTCCCTGAGCTTTTTTTGCTCAAGGCTAGCACTCTATCACTTGAGCTATAGCTCCACTTGTAGCATTTTGGTGGTTAACTGGAGATAAGAGTTTCACAGACATTCTGCCCAGGCTTCAAACTGTGATCCTCAGATCTCAGCCTCCTTAGTATTAAAGATTAGAGGAATAAGCCATCACCTCCCAACTTACAACCATGTGATCTTTCAGTCTAGAAATAAATATTAAGTGGATGTATACAAAGAAAAGCCCATGTTGTTTAAATATATTTAAATGATTTCTACAGAAATGAAACTATTATTTCCATGAATTTGTGTCAATGCCTTTTCCCCCCAGTGCTGGAAATTAAACCTAGGCTCTTATGGAATCAGTGTAAAGTGTCTAGCATTAAACTAAGCCCACAGCCTCAAAGACATCTTTAAATTTTATATTTCTTAAGTCAAAGGAACCATAAGCCCTTTTCAGAGCTACTGATGCTCTGAAATTCTCAGTGAAAAAGATATCTTTACTTTTGCTAATAAATACCATAGTCGTGCTTTGGGGATTTTATTATTTTTTGTCAGTCGTGGGGCTTGAACTCTGGGCCTGAACGCTGTCCCTCAACTCTTCAGCTAAAGGCTAGCACTCTACCACTTAACCATAGTACCATTTCCGGTTTTCTGGTGGTTAACTGGATAAAAGAGTCTCATGGACTTTCCTGCCTGGGCTGCCTCTGAACAGCAATCGAGATCGCAGCCTCTGAGGAGCTAGGATTACAGGCATAAACCACAGACACCGGCTGGGATTTTGTTCTTGTTTCTAGATTCCAACCACATCTCCTTCTTCCTAATGCTTTTCCATTCCCAAGGATTAATGTAAGGATCTGAATTGCAAGGGACTGAATTCCAAGGGACACAAACACTAGTCAAATCAATGGTGACTTGCATTAGGAAAACTTACCAATTCTCTATGTTTAATCCAGTGAATATTAACTATGTGTGCTAGAGACTGTGCTAGTAGAGAGTAATAAGATGTTATTGATCTCAAAAGTAGATATTAATATTAATAGTAACATTAAAGGTTGCACTACAGTTATATACTAAATCATAATGCATATAATACATAGAAATTACTGTGTATGTATATAATGAAAAACCAAACAAAAATTATTTTCACTGCATTTTCCATAGGTGACAGTTTTCTGCAACTTTGTTTTGACAATATTGGTAAAGACTTACTAAAGACCTACTATGATGCAGGTATTATACTAGCTACTGGAGATAAAAGGGTAAATAGGGGGTGGAGAAAAGTCCACTGCATGAGTTTAGAATACATTGTTGTAATTATTCCACTTCAATGAATATTTTTGTATATGTAAAGGAGACTTTTTATATATGGATGAATATTCATCATTTCTTTTGGTTATAGTACACTTTTTTGTACACCTGTTGTATACCCATTGTATTTAAATAAAACAAATTAAAAAATCTTTTTCTCTTTTTGATGTTCAAAGCTAAATATTATGTGAGTAACATTCAGGATTTCAAATGCTGAAACCAATGGTTAGTATCTGGAGAGAGGCTAGTGAATGCCTAGCTGTAATGGTGCAGTTAGGAAAAACTTAATTGGAGCTGTGTCAGGACAGGAAGAACATCAGCATATTGCTGATGCAAGTCACTGTGAGGACAGAGAGGCTGTGTGTCTACTGCTCACACCAGCAACCCCCAGTGTTGGTGCTGCACTGTGTACAGTTTCTGAAGATTTTACAGTAATCATGTTAAAAGGGCTTACAAAATGTGATGCTCAGCTGAGAAAATCTTTGTTGGCTATTAAAGAAGAAGTCCCAGGAATATTTTCAGTTACTAAGACAATGACTGTATTTGTAATCAGAACCCTTAACTTCCTTCCTTGGGGAAGAATTCACCCATGACAATATTTATAGAGTAGAGTACCCACCAGTCCACTTAAAGCATATCTGGTAAAGCATCCCATCATTTAGGCTATGCAATGGCTGTTACTTTATAAGCTAATAAAAACTGCTAGTGCTGCCTTCCACACAAATTAAAACAATGACGGAAAATATGACTATTATGTTTTGAACAAGAGCCAGACAGAATACTGGTGCTTGTTGAAAATCTGAGGTGTGATGACAACAGAGCCTGAGCAACCCCAGATGTTGTATGGAATATAAGCGGTGAATATGAACCCTTCAGAGTTCTCACATCTTTTCTCCAAAGAAGCCAGGGCCACCATCCATGAGATAAGAATGGGAGTGAATCTCTTCAGCAGAAAAATTGGAAACTCAATTGTGTCAATGCCTTTCTCATCATCTCTCTCTTTTGTTTTTTTTTTTTAAAGAAACAAGTATCAAACCAAAAAACAAAAAAAATTTCATTTGCTTTTGTTTTTCCTATCCTGGACAAGAATTTCTAGTTCATATAGCGAATTTCTTTCTAGACTGATTATGTTCCATCAGATGAGACAAAAAACAATGTCTGGCCCACACAATAGCAATTCAAGAAATCTTTTGATTAGAAAGGTAAGTACATGTGAAAAAGGCAATAACTCTTTTTGAAATATGTGGATTGTGAAACCAAAAGGCAAATATCCTAAGTCATTCCAAATAGATGGTAGAATGAGGGCTAGGACCCAGGTTTTCCACATCTCCTGCCTGGCAACTACCAGCACATCATGCAGCCATACCAATATTAAATCTAAGAAGACTAGGTGCACCAAGATAGAAAGAGGCTGATGTTGCTTCTACATAAAATGAGATAGTCCAAATAGTTGCCACTCCCTTCAAAAGACTCAAGATTTGTAAAATAACTCAAGATGTACAGGGTTCCGGTTGCTCAAGCCTGTAATCCTAGCTACTTAGGAACCTGAGATCTGAGGATAGAGGTTCAAAGCCAGCCGGGCAGGGAAGTCTGTGAGACTCATATCTCCAATAAACCACCAGAAAGCCAGAAGTGCCCCTGTTGCTCAAATGGTAGAGTGCTCACCTTGAGCTGAAGAGCTCAGGGACAATGTCCAGGCCCAGAATTCAAGCCCAACGACCAACCAAAGGAAAAAAAAAAAGAACTCAAGATGTAATTATCACTGTCTTTTTAGTAAGAATATTAGGAAACAGGAACATATTCAATTTTTTATGAGTAAAAAGAGAAGAGATGAAGCCACATCTGAAAAGAAAAGTGGAGAATTTGTTACAGTTATGTAATTTTCTTAAGTATACAGTGATCTCTGACAAGCATAAAGACAGAAATGTTGATTCCTGTCCTGCCACTGGTTCAGGAGGGAGTCATGCAATATGTATTATAATACATATATATAATCACCTCCTCTGAGTGATCTTTAGCAATAGTTCAAGTCTAGTACAAGAAATAGGAAATGAGACAAAATGTGAGATCATTCTATGCTAAACACAAGCCTTGAAGCATAAGAGGACACAGAATGTTATGAAATTACAGTTAAGTTCAGGAGAACAAGAAAGACTGGACATAGACAAAGCTAAAGAGGTTGTTGGGGTTTACTGCAACTTTGTAGAAATGGTGACTAGGTACCAAGGGCCTAACAAGAGATTGAAACAAAACACCACATAAATATGATTAGTTCTTACACTTTAGCCTTGCACTACTTCTCTCTCACAGCAGTTCATACACTCTCATTTTAATATTTTCTCTCACAGCAGTTCATACACTCTCATTTTAATATTTGAGTCATGTATCTGCTGCTTTTACTTTCTCTCTTCCTCATGAACTAGAAAGTTATCAACTTATCATAAACTAGGAAGTTATATTAAAAGTCCCAGGAGACTGGTGTTTGTATAGAATTCCTTTCCTGGCCAGAAGTGATGACTTACTCCTAAAGAGTAAGTCAATCTCCTAGGGAGACTGAGATTTAAATTCAAGGTCAGCCTGAGGAAAAGGGTTTGTGAGAGTCCAATAAAAAGCTGGTCATGGTAGTTCCTGCCCTGTTATCCCAGTTTCATAAAAGTTGAAACATAAGGATCACTGACCAGGCTGATCTAGGTATAAACATAAGACTCTATTAAAATACAAAAATAAAATAACTAAAGTACAAAGGACAGCTAGGTCCATGGGGCTGCCCAAGCAGTAGTGCAAGTGTCTAGCAATGGCAAGCACCAATACTATACTCCCAATTCCTCCCCTCCTTCCCTTCTTTTCATGATCGTGTTTCTTTCTGCTAAGTCCTATTAACTATATCAAAGAATTAATAAATAATAAAACGATTTGCATCAATTATAAAATAGGGAACTTTTGTTTCTTTAGTGAAAAAGATTTTCACTAAAAATTTGTAAATATTAAAAGTAAACATTCAAGAACAAAATAACCCTGGCATATTTAGACAATCGTTTTGTTGTGTTTTTTGTTGTTGTTGTTTGTTTTTTTGGTCTGTCATAGGGATTGAACTCTAGGCCTGAACATTGTCCCTCAGCTCTTCAACTCAAGGCTAGCACTATACCATTTGAGCCACAGTGCCACTTCCGGTTTTCTGAGTGGTTTATTGGAGATAAGGGTCTCACAGACTTTGTTGATCAGGCTGGCTTTGAATCACGATCCTCAGATCTCAGCCTCCTGAGTAGCTAGGATTACAGGCATGAGCTATTGGCGCCCAGCTAGACAATCGTTTGTTTTTTTTTACTGGTTGAATTATTCAGAGGCACCCTAAAGTAGAATATGAAGAATGTTCCAATAAATTCATGTAAGAACTTGATAATATATCTCCTTGACCATAGTTTTGTTAATTCCCCACCGCTGAAATTTTTTATTCTTGTAATACCAAACAGTTACTTAGCATTCAATACATATTTGCTAAACTAAGAATATCTGGCATCTGAAAGGAGAGGAAGAGTACTTGGTTAAGGTGCCAAGTGGTATATCTGGATAGAGCAGCACTGATTAACAAAGTGTGACACTAGCACTTACATATTCTCCGTAGGTTTCTTGTGTTGGGGGTGGCGGTGGAGCTCTATACCCACTTGGAGGCACTCCTCTAGCCCTGGGAGTAAGAAGTCCTCTTCCCCGGCTCACGGGCCCTCTGGTAGAGAGGACTCCCCGCGGAGCTGGCGTTCCTCGTGGTACACCAACCCCAACTGGCCGGGCTGTAACGCCTCTTCCTCTGCAAGAAAATTCACAGTATTTATCATATTATCTGACATTCCAATCTTCACATACATTTATACCTCTAATAAACTGAGGTCCCCTATCCATATCAAATCTATAGCAAATAAGAAGCAGGTATCTTTTTCCCTCCCCAAATTAAGATATTTAGGTATTCTAGCACAATTAGTCACACCAAGACCAAATTTATGGCTCAGGGACAGAGTGTGAAACAATATTATCCAAAGAACACATATATTGAAGACTTCTGGGTGATACCATGTGATAGTTATACTCATATGTGATCCTGATACTAGGAGAATGGTCTCTATCTTGCTCACTTACAGACAAGGAAATGGGGCTAAGAGAGGTTTTTTTAAAAAAAATGCCAGGAAATACACAGATGGCAAACAAAGCAAGGGTCAAAATATATGTCCCAGTTCCACTAGTGAGAAAAAAGGCAGGAAAAACTAAATGCATGTAAGACAGGAATATAGTGAGCATACTAAGGGTCGAAAATTGTTGTCAAAGTCACTACAGAAAATATGGGGAAGAAAATCCAGTGGAGAAAATGAAAAAGTGAAAGGAGGCCATTCTACATCAGTGTTGCTTCCCTAATTCCTTCTAATTGTAATCATCTTGACCACAGAAGGGTCAGTAAGATAAAAAGAACTTCAAACTGTCTTAAGCTGCTATTTTAACGTATAAGCTTATACTCTCATTTGGAACTAAAGCTAAAACAACAACAACAACAACCTGTTTCACATCTCACTGTAAGAGTTAAGTTCAGATAGTTTATATTCAGCATCAGAAGTGTTATCAGTGGAACATGCATGAGAATTCCAGTGGGTAAATAACTTGTTCTGTTATAGGATTGCAAAGTTATTAGAGCCATGTGACCATTCCCACAAAGCCAATAGCTTAGGTAGTTTAGTTAAGTAACAACAACAATAAAAACCATGCTAACAAGAGTATTTTAAGGAATGTGTTACTGTAGATTGTTTAATAAGTTTTACCATATGCCTCATACTAGGGACTCAAGTGTCTACGATTTTACAGTGCAATAAGGAATGATCAGTGAATAAATGATCAAATAAAATGAGTTCAGCTTAATAAATCATACTAAGTCATCCAACAGAGTATTAAGTACTAGCTTCTAGATTAGAAGAGATGGCTACTTATGATCAGCTGATCAGAAAAGGGTGTTTAGCAAGAAGTCTATTTAGGTCAAGACATTATAGAGAACAGGTTCAGAGGCTAAAAGACAGAGAACCTGAAGACAAGCAATCAAGTTTTCCAAGGAAACGGAAGAACAAATCAGAGCAAAGTCTCTAGGAAAGAAGTGAGAATGGCCTGCTTAACAGAGTAATAAAAGTAGAAAATACAAATATAGGACCAAACAGAGAATACAGTAGGTGTGAGGGGGTACACAGTGTATTGACAGATTTGACTGTAAGAAATGCTTAGAATCTCAAATAAATATTTGCTGACCACAAGCATGTACACACATATCTTTGAAGTCTAGCATTGAACTAGTGAAAACTCCACCACAAATGAAAACTCAGGATCAGAATGCGAATGCAAACTTAAAATAATCTCATGAGAGGATTTCTACCATAAAGACAATGACACAGCTATAAATGACAAGCAATGTCTATGCTGGATTCAAGATAATTTTTCATGTAGGCCCTGGAGACATGTTACGAAAGGACAAAACAAATTTGAAGACTTAAAGATGTATTTTAAGCATATTATTTTGTATATGGCAGATCCTGGTAAAACACACAAACTTTTACAATAAAGATAAAGCTAAACTAGACTATGAACTAGTCTGAATACTACCAGGCCATCAACATTTTGGAATAAACATATAATCACATACTACAATCACAAGTATCCTTTCAGAGGGAGCCAAAGTGATATCATAGACACAGGAGGAAAAGCAGGAATGAAGATGGGAGGAGGAGCTGGGTACCAGTGGCTTATGCCTGTCATCCTAGCTACTCAGGAGGCTGAGATCTGAGGATCGTGGTTCAAAGCCAGCCCAGGCAGGAAAGTCCATGAGACTCTTATCTCCAATAAACCACTCAGAAAATGGAAGTGGCTCTATGGCTCAAGTGGTAGAGCACTATCCTTGAGCTGAAGAGCTGAGGGACAGCGCTCAGGCCCAGAGTTCAAGGCCTACAAGTGACCAAAAACAAAAAAAAAAAGATGTGAGGAGGGAGGAGAGGAGGTAGCCACAAGCCACAGAACACTGGTCCATTGTCAGGAACTGAAAGGCACAAGGAAAAGAATATCACCCAAGTTCTGGAGAGAACAAGGCCCTGCCAACATGCTTTTGGACAAATGATAATGTATGGACATCTTGCTTCTAGTATGCCAGAATAAATTCCTATTGTTTTCAAATATCAAATTCATGGAAATTTTTCACAGCAGGTATAGAACACTAATAAAGCATATAAGTAATGTCTTATGATTACAAGTAAATGTAATGGTAGAAGAAATAGACATTATAGAGATTGGCTTTACTGAGACTATAACATGTAATGTCTCATGAAATCAACAACAACCCTATACATAGCTCTTTTTTTTTTTTAAGATAAACACCATTGTATCGTGCCCAATCCAGTGTGCAGTTGCCTTTTAAAGCAAATCTTACTTTCTTTAAATAATCTTGGAAACAGAAAAAAATGCCAAAGTCTAAATTGAAAAGATCCACATAATCACCAGGATATCTAAATCTGTGTGTTACAGCTGAGCATTATGGTACACACCAGTAATCCCAGACCAGAGGGGACAGAGGCAGGAGAGGACAAGCTTCAGGCCAGCCTGGGCTACACAGAAGGACATTCTGTCGAAATAAACAGACAAAAAAAAGGGGGATGCCCTTTCTCTACTGACTTCTTCTAGAATACAGATTTAAAAATGAAAACTAATTATCTAAGATAGTCATAACAGATTTTTTTATTCTTTAAAATCCTTTTCTATTAAAAGCAATTACTAACCAAAGACAAAAATAAAAACTGTTTATTTGTGGAGCAGATCAGTAATGTCTATATTAGAGCATTTATAATAAAATGGCATGGGCATTCAGAACCCACTTGGTAGCTGACCCTGCATTTATCATTTATTATATCGGTGTCCTGATACAGCCAACCTTCCAATGGGAAAACTAGGGAATCAGCTCCTTAATGTGTGTATCAAAACATTTTATTTGCATAAAAAGTTGCATTTCAAAGAATTAGTGTTAAATAATAATTACTCCAAAGCTATCAGCTCGTAAATAGAATAGGTTAATTAGAAAGCTTAGATTTAAATATCTTACTCCAAAGTCAATCTCCCCAGGGTGACACTATGGTGTATGAACACAGGCTTTGTATAGGTACACTCATAGGTCTAGTTCTAAGTACTAATATGATCTGTTGTATAACTTTATGAACTGTGAAACTGTTGCTATGGCACATTTACCTAAAAAATAGTGCACCAGTTAAACTTACCTGGCTAGGGCTGGGGTGGCTACACCTCTTGTACGCAGGGTGGGCTTCCCTCGCACCACTGGAACATCTGCATTCTCTGAACCACCATTCAGATATGTCAGTTCCTGAAGCTGAGCTTGCCGGATCTCGTCATTGTAGTCCTATACAGAAAAGAGAAAGTGGAGTTTGCTTCCTATTAGAAATACAAAAGTAAACTAGACACTGTAGATCATACCATAATCCTAGCTATTCAGAAGGTTGAGATCTGAGGATTGTGGTTTGAAGCCAGCTGAGGCAGGAAAGTCAGTGAGACTCTTATCTTCAAATAGCCACCAAAAAGCTAAGTACAGGTATGGCTCAAGAGGTCAGTGCTAACTTTGAGCCAATAAAGCTCAGTGACAGCAAGGTCCTGAGTTCAAACCCCAGGAAAGGTATAGACTTTTACACACACACACACACACACACACACACACACACACTTAGAAAAACTATGGTTTAATGATATAGTTTTTTTAAATGAGGTTATTAAATTGAAAATAAACAAATTTTTTGATAAGGGGAAAAAGTATTTTTCCCCAAGCTAAAATTCTATATAACCAGCTATCACTCCTTTCATAGGCAACTTTCAAAAATGAAGCATTTATAAATTGATTAAAATTCCATGTAAGTGCTATATGGGCATTATTATTTGCAATTCAATCTAACTAGCTTGTATGAGAAAATAAGATGAATGTCAGGTCAGAAAACCAAAGAGAAGTCATAGGAAGTCAAAGTTGTATTCACATTCGGGTAATTCCAAAGGATTTCCTGACAATAAAACAATCACCCACATAAAAAGAGCTTGGAGCAGGTTAGACCACAGTTCATTTCAGTAGGATAAAAGATGAATGAAAATAAGTCACAATACAAAGTAAAGGCAAGGGATACCATCTCCTCATATGGCTAAGAAAAGGAAAGAGATAGAAATGACCACAGTTTGAAACAAAGAAGGATTTTTAAATAAAAGAAACGTAAAGATATTTTCAATGTGGACAGAAGATTCACAGAAATTTTCTGAATTATTTATAATTGCCTCTAATGTTAGAAGAGTACTACAGATTCAATCATTATAGTCAAATAAGTTAAAAATTCCATATCATACATGCTAACTTATTTTTATTCTCCTTCCAAAAAATGAATCTACTCTAATATCAACACTGTCATTAACTATGAAGTAAAAGGGATTTTTAACCTCTAACTAAACAGTTATATGAAAGTAAATTTAATGTCTAAATGCACATTAGCCATTGAGAATGAAAAAAAATAGTTTTTAATGAAATCATGAAAACTAATGGAAATTCAATGATCTCTCTGATAAGAATTCATTTTTCAGAGATATTTGCCAAAATATACCAATATTTATGTTAAAGGTTAATTCTAGGATCACTAATGGCATTGTAATCTTGACATAAAAACCCAAACTGCTGATATGAAGACTGGCTAAATGAATCCTAGAATCTGCATACAGATTAGGGAGGTATTTTAAAAAGTAACATTAAATTTCAAATATGTATATGCTGACAAAGGTCCATAATAACGTAAAGAATAAAGGTAATGAGAGCACATGGTCCTTTTGGGTCAGTGAGGAGTTATCAAAGCTTACCTATGAAGCAATCATTTTCACAGTTCGGAATCTAACTGAAGGTATATAACAAGCTGAAGATAATAAATTTACTGATGAAAAATGGCCAAATTGTGTTAAGAAAAGTAGGAATCTGAGGAAATTTGGCCTGGGGAGGTTACTACACCTTCTCCTTAGACTAATTGGTATACTAATTCAATTCCTCTAGGAGAGGAAAGCAGGAAAACGCTTCTACCAACCATTGTACAGTATAGACACAGCACCTTCCTGGAAGGGCATGGTTAAAATCAGAAGCAAACACAAATATCATGGAAAAAGAGGAAGAGAGAAACTAACTGCTGGAGAGGGCCCAGATATTGGAACTGCAAAAGAAGATATGGAAAAAATAATGATCAATAATACCAATGAAAAGAGAGATGAACTTTACAGCAGACTTGGAAGTGGCAAAAAAAAAAAACTAGTTAAATTGAAGAGAGGTCAATTAAAGTGACCTACTCTGAGGAACACAGGAAAACAGATGAAGAAAAGAAAGGCTGAAACTGGGACACCAATAGGTATACCAACATAAAAAAAAAAACTGAAAAATTCAAGTAAATTCAAATAAATAATGACTAAAAAAATTCCACTAAATCATTACCAAAAAAAAAAATCACTACCAAAAAAAAATCACTACCAAACTCATTACACTCATCCAAGAAGTGGACAGTGATTCAACAAAAAAGAAAACTAAAGATCACTCTCTGATTAATACAGATGCAAATTTTATTAATAAAATGCTTCCTAACTGAATTCAACCACTCAAAAAACAAATCATACTCTATGATTAAGTTAGTTTCATCCCAGGGTTGCAAGGCTTGTTCAATATGTAAAACAATAAATATTATACTGCCCTTCAACAGAATTGAGGATGTGAACTACCTGATCTCAATGGATACAGAAAAAACCTAACATCATTTTTTTAATTAAAAACTTTGAAGAAGTTATGAATAGAAGAAACCATACGTCAACATAATAAAGAGTAAATATTACAAATCTACAGCCAACATCATACTAAATTCTGAAAAACTGAACCCACTTCCTGTAAGTAAGGAATAAGAGAAGGATGTCCATGCTTTCTACCTTCATTCTGCATAGTACTGGAATTCCTAGCCACAGCACTAAGACAAAACAAAGGTACAAAAGGGATTCTACTTCAGAATCATAAAATCAATCAATCCCTTTAGTAGTAATAGCCATTTTCATAAAATTCAACTGTGAATCCATTGAGTCCACGGCTTTTCTTTTTTGAGTCTTTATTGCTATTTTGATTTTATTGTGTTAAGAGATACTACAGTACATGACTTCAAAAGATACATAGTATATAATATATTCATTACATTATGTATATATGTATACCATTTGCAGGGAAATGAACAGACCTGGAAAAAATTGTGTTGAATAAAGTAAGTAGGCTCAAAGACAGAGGAGGTGCATGTTTTCTCTTATATGTGAAAGTTAGATCTAAACTATAATCATATATGAAAACAGGGACATATGCAAATGTACACAAACTGACTAAAATATGGTATAAATGGGAGCAGATTCTTCTTGAAGAATTAGAACATAGCTTAACAACATGAATATCAGGAAGCTGAAACATGTCTTGACACAAGGGAATTAAGTTTAAGTGGACAAAGAACAGATGAATGAAGAGGGGAATGGTGCATGGCAAATAAAATCATGATACTGAATGTACATATGCACTTGAGGGGATGGGTTGAGTTGGGATAAACTGGGGTGTAGGAGATAGAAGATGACACGGATCAAGCTGCACTGTACTCATGAATAGGCATACTGAATATAAATTTAGCAATATTATTTTAATCTATCTCAAACTCTATTATTTCATGTATAAAGAAAAGATAATGTTAGATAATTCACAATGACACTGTGAAGTCTCTAAGACACAAATATAAACTTTTGTAACAGACCAGTTAATCATTACTATACTAAGCACTATTAAGAATATATTAAAATGGCTCTAAAACACAAGCTAACTATGAACAAAAACTGTACTCACAGGGATGAGGAACTTTTTGATTTCTTCCAAAGCATGTCCCATTCGGGCATAAGCTTCTGCTGGTGGAGCAAACACTTCAATGAGCACATGGAGGTCATCATTGAGGTGAAAGTATTTTGCTTCCCCACTTTTCCTCAACTCTTCTTCCTGAAAAGGAAAAACATCATATTTTCAAATATTTCAGTAATAGAAAACTAAAGTCAAAATCACCTAAAACCTTTTTGATTATGGTGGTCAGAGAAGATTCCCTCAACAGCAAATATTACCCTAAAAAATGTTTCAATACAAATCTGATCTTATTCCTGCTGGATTAAGTCTCGCTCTATTCTGCGACTGGCCCAGGAGCCAGCCCATCATCTGGCCTTGTCTGCATGCCCGCCCTCTTCTGCCTACTCCTGCTTCCCTTGTTCTATTAATCCACTGGCTGCACAGGCTTCCTTTGTTTCCTATCCTGGTCAACCACCAAGCTAGCTTCTGTACTGGCTGTACTGTGTGCCCACGATGCTGATACACAGCATATATTTACCTCTCTCTAAACTAACTGCCGTAGCTTGACTCACAATTCTCTATTTTCTCTCATTGCAATCTCACTGCCATGGAATGAATACCAACCACGTCTGTGTTATTTTGTGATGCTGGTGATACATTCTCCATGCCTAATAACTTGTAGAGTATACAGAAAATGTTCAACAAGTGGGTTTTGTGTACATATGTGTGTGTGTGCTGAGGCTTGAACTCAGGGCCTGGGCACTATCACTGAACTTTTTGTAGGTACTGATAACTAGAATTTGAATCTTCCATGTTTTTGCTTCAAACATTAAAATCAGAAAGATGAAATTAGTGGAATCTATACCTAGAAGGATGTCCAAAAGGAAATTAGTGGAATCTATACCTAGAAGGATGTCCAAAAGATAGCACATCTTCCTAAACTTTTCAGAAAAACCTACCACATGAGACAACCCCAGTCAATTCTAGGACAGCACATTTCAATTTCAGTGCTAGCCAACCGACCAACAAAGCAAATGCCAGAAGGTCTACCCTTTACCAGTTTAGCTTTCCTCACTATTTTGAATTTTTACAATAAAAGTAAGAAACGCAGAGAACAGATAAGGTTACAAAATCTAGTCAGGTTTAATTGAACCTCAACTATCTATACTAGTTATTAGCTGCATGAGCTTAGAGTATATATAATTTGAAAATTAATCTGAAAAGTCAATTTGGTATTAATTCATGTATATTAGTGTAGGGCTATGGAGAACAGAATGGGTACAGATGAATGAACACAGGAGATACAGAACCTAATATCTGGGTACACTGCCTACATACACTAGGCACTTCTAGTCTCTTTCAAATATGTAGAAAGGACATTAGAAACAGAAGAAAATGACTGAAACAGAGTAAAATGGGATACCATAATATACTATTCATTTCCTTGAAATTTCCTTGAAAACATGAATTCTATAATAAGTGTAGTTTTAAAGATGCACTGTACTCATGAACTGATTTTTGAATGGTAAATCTATGTACAACTAAAGATAATAAAAATGTAAGTTTAAAAAGTATATACTTTATGCCTCCATCAGAAAGAATGACATTGCCACATTTGTTAGGAAATGGAAAAACTTGGAAAAAAATATATTAAGTGAAGTAAGCCAGGCCCAAAGAAACATAGGTCCCATGGTTTCCCTTATTTGCAATTTCTAGTATATGTATGAGTCAAGCGGAAAAGGTCAGATAATGTGATGTCAGGAAAATGAACCCTTAGATATGTATTTTAATGTTTTTTCTTTCATGCATGTGTTTCTAACGCATTTATAAGACTATCTCTTTGTTGCTTTGTATGTCCTTCCCCCACAGTATAACCCCTGCTTTCACTATATTTGATATCAGTATAACTTGTGGAGGAGAGGGGGAAAAAACAGTTGTTAAGGATACAGGTGGACCTGATGCAACAACGAGAAGTATAAGTTGTCATGTCCAAACGAGCTTTACAACGTTGGTCGGGGGGGGGGAGGGAGGGAGGAGAAGGGTTGGGATTGGGGGGGAGGGGGGAGGCTGGGAAGGGATGTGAAGGGTAAACCAAAGGAGGAGGCTGCAATGCTTGGTAAGAAATGTACGCATTATCCTGCCCATGTAATTGTAACCCCTCTGTACAGTATGTTCACAAATAAAAAATAAATAAATTAAAAAAAAGTATATACTTTTATGTCTTGTATTAATGAGAACATTTAAACAATTTAATTTGAAACACTTTCACAGTTGAAGCTTTAAAAAATCGATTTACACATAACAGCATGTTTTATCTTTTCTCATCTTATAGCAAGTAATTTAAATGTAATTTTACTTTCTGGATCATATTCACAAACTTAGGTTAGGACAGACAGAATGGAATGTCTATTCTATAGCTACAGCCAAGTGTCATTCCATAGAGTAATGTGTCTTTACTAGAAAATTCTATGGGTTAATAAAGGTGAGAGGCAATATGATATTTGGGGAAGCATAAAGACCGTGAAACTCTTCGCTCAAATCTCCAATCCAATACTTACCATACAACTTTGGGCAGGTTACTTAATCCTTCCCCTTAGGGCTGAATTTAAATGTGGATTATAACTGCATACTTATCTCATGGGATTGCCACACTGGTATGCATTAGAATTAAGCCTCATTCATAGCATTCAAAAAGTGAGTATAGAAAAGGTAAATACTATTGCACAGCCACAATACTAATTATCTTCCTACTTTCAATGTAAGGCAAAATGTCCAGTTTGACTTACAATATTAGCAAAAGCTCAATAGATAATAACATCATTGTGATTATTAGTTGCATATCCAGCTGATAGATATGTATCAGTTGTAACTGCCATAACTTCATCAATGTAGCAAATAAAATGAAACGATTTTTAGAATGGGAGTTTAATACTGAGAGAGTCTTTTTAGAAAGAAATACACTATTAACTGAGAATCTAAGCAGATCAAATTAGTAAAAAGGATCAAATGAAATTAATATTTAACAATTTAAGGAGGATCTGATTATATAACAAAAGGTAAAATATTAGCAGTAGAATTCAAGTAGCACACATGACTTAAATCAGCATCTGTGGTTACCTTCAACAAAATAATTTATAAGGTTAAACTGATAGATCATGTGGCAAAGACAATATTACAGTTATGGACAGGAGGGAGAAGACTGCTAGAATAGCAGGAAATTGGCAGCTTCTTATGGTAGTCAAAAGATTAAAAAGGGGGTTGTATAGTTTGGGGGCTTAATGTCCCCCAAAATGTCTATGTTTTAAAAGTCTGTGTTAAAAAAAAAAAGGTACTCCTAAGAGGCAGCAGAAAGCTTTGGGCACAGGGACCGAGTGGGAAAGTACCAGAAGTATTCTTCAAAGGGAAAATGAGATCAATGTATTTTTCTCTTTGCTTCCTGGCCATGTGGTAAATGGTTTTTCACACCTCCTTAGCCACAAGGTGAATGGTTTTGCACAACCTGGCTATGAATGGTTTTGCACACTACACACTCCAAAAAACAGGGAGCATACAGGGGGCTATAAAAATGGGTACTTCCGGCGGCTCACGCCTGTAATCCTAGCTACTCAGGAGGCTGAGATCTGAGTATCGAGGTTCAAAGCCAGCCCGGGCAGGAAAGTCTCTGAGACACTTATTGCCAATAAACCACGAGAAAACCGGAAGTGGCACTGTGGCTCAAGCGATACAGCGCTTGCAGTGAGCTGAAGAGGGCAGGAACAGTGCCCAAGCCCATAGTTCAAGCCCCACGACCAGCCAAAAAAAAAACGGGGGGGGGGGAGTACTTCCACAACTGCAAATCAAAATAGTCCTTTTTTTCCTTATATATCGTGTGGTTCAAATATTTTTGTTACAGTGAAGGAAAGCTGACTACCATAAGGCTTTATGTTATCAATTCAAGAGCCAAAAAGCCAGAAGAATCCTGGAAGGTTTTGGTGCTTAGCCTAGGGCTAATGAATCCAACAAAGAGATGCAGAATTCAATCTCTGTTCTTCTGAATGACAATGCAGATATCCATTCCTCTTACGCATGATTTAGAATAATGTCTAGGTAAAAATATGAGCTTTATAATGACAACATTTGGGAGGATTTAAAGAATTCTCAGGGTGACACTGTCCAAAGAGAAATGTACTCTTTACCTGACTTATGTAACCATGTATACATCATCTTTACAATAATATTTTATTAAAAAGGAATTCCAATATCCAAATACCAAAATCCCAGAGTCATCCACATCAGCAGAAGTCTACACAGCAAGACTTTCCTATGCTATATGAACTGCAGACAGTTCCATGAAAAGAGATGACCAAAAGTCATCTGGTCTACAATCAGATCCCTGCTTACTGTACGGACTTAGAAAACAAGAGAATGGAAGTTAAACCCAGAGAAATGGCAAGAAATATACAGTACCTTCATATCCCCTAGCATGTGATACTCTATCCTTGTCTCCCTAACAAGGATTTAGAACCTTTTCCTAGACTGAGTGTATACAAAAGAAGAAATAGCTATACAGCTTAAGAATCAATGAACTGATTCTGATCTAACGCTGCTCCACTCAGGAGCTTGTAAGGTCAGGAGATATGTAGAACTCTGGTCCGAGCCTATGACAGTGAACTGAGAAGAATGAAAACACTTGGTGTGTGTTATTCTTCCCTCTGCAGGGTATCCTGATGGAATAAAAATGAGCATCCACTGCACAACCATCTTTGTCCAGAAATGAGAGGAGTACTCCTTAAGTGGTAAGTGGTCTGGAAAAGAGGCCCAAATGTATTAAAACCAGATGCCTCATAGATGGAGAATAGGTACTCTGATCAGGCAGCCATGAGGGCCACGGGGAGGCAGATATCTGATGGCTCATTCCTTAACCATCTCAGACTGACAGAGATAGAAGTTATGCATTCCTTCAACACAGACTCCCTTTTGTTAAAGGTGACTGGCTGTCAATTTCTTTCCTGAGTGAACAATACAACAATAGCAGAGGATACCACAAGCCATTGGGACTATATAAGTTGGATAGCAATCTGATTATATTTAGGATCATTTTCATTAGTTAGGTAAGAGGGTACTATTATTTGAATATACAATCTGGACAGAGATTTTCCTTCTTTACAAATCCTTTCTGTTTATAAAATTATGGTTGGACACCCTGATCACTGTTCCTGCATCACACAAAAACAAACCAAGAAAAATCCTCCCTTCAAAAACTAAAACACGGCTTTAGACTAAGGAACTTGATTAACTACAATCAAGTACAAAGTAAGTACATAATGGATCCCTGTCTGTGGTTTTCACGCACATTCCATGTATTCATTACCAGATCATTTTATTAAAGATTGAATTAGAATACCAGCAAGTACAAAGTTCCTACAAGATACACACATGGAATTTCTGACTGACCCATAATATGGTTTCATTTTCTCCTAATCCCAAAACAGAAGAGTCAAAGAATTTAAATAACATGTTCAGTAAGTAATGAACAAAACTTGGCCATGTCTAAGATTAATTTACAAATATGTACTGAAAATTCATGTTGAGTTTCTAACCAGTTCGACTGACCTGGAAATGGACATTTTAAACTATTCTCCACAACAGCCTGATACGTGCCCTGATTTCCATAGCAATAGTGGAAAACATATAGGTAAATGTCAAAAAGCCATATTTTCATTTTATTAATTTTTATTAAGATAATCAAATGAATTCCTGCTTCTCCTAGATGGTAACTCAAGTTCTCTGGACCTCAATTTTCTACTTGTAAATTAGAAGAATGCCATTATCTACCATTTTTCACCAAGGATAACTGAAGTAATGCCTATAAAATGTTCTACACTATGTCTAATTCTCAGTGGGTGTTCAATAAACATATAGTGATTATTTTTTATTACACAAGCAATTTACTTTAGATAGACTTTTGTGCAATGAGGCTAATTTTCATTTTAAAATGTTTATGTCTAAAACGCTTTATTTAACATTTCAGGGTAAGAGATCACTGAAAGTAGTAGATTTGATCTCAATAATATCTTTTATAAATAAGAGAAAGACTGATGGTAAGAAACAGTGTAAATTAAAAGTATTCTGCTATGTAAAATTTTCTTCCAAAATATTATGGAAACGGCCAATAAAAATAACTTAGTAATGTTAAACTTGTCAATAAATTAAGATGTAAATATATCCAAGGAAAATACATTTTAGAATACTAAACTATTATCCAAACACTAAAAATCTATGTTTAACAGCATGACAAAGTATATTCAATATTAAAAAGAAAAAAGAATATATACCATGAGCTCAAATCTAGTTCTATCTCAGCAGCAGTGACAAGTTCTGAGGAAACCACTATTTTATGATTTGTGAATATCACAGAGTATATTTATTCTAACCTAGACAAATCACCACAAGACTCATTCATACACACTGTTGTGGTTGACCAAAACACTTACACAGTACATGGCTGTATTTGAAACGTCCTCAGAAAAAAGATTGAAAGGAATAACTAAAAATCCAAAGCAGATGGTGTATCGACATTTAATTTTTACTTCTCTTTGTAATCATTTTAATCCTATCACACAACCTGTGACATATTACTTCTAGAAGAAAAAAAATTGAACATTAATATTTTATGTATATATACTCCACACATACAGGTGCAGTTTTATGATGCTATATATTTTGTTGGCCAGAGGGACTCAATTTCTAAACATAATTATAAACTTATCACCATGTATAATATTTGCATGTGGTCCAATTAGCTTTTACATACTAAATGTTAACACACTGGATGACATAAAAAGGATATAAAATTACCTGACCGAAAAGGAAACCATTGTCTTCAATCAATATTACCTTTGCCTTGTCTCTCATAGAACCTTTTCCAAGGATGGACATTTTTGTCAAGGTTTCTTCTTGTAAGCGCTTCAGAGAATTGCCACGTGGACCCAGAAGTTTCCCCACAAAGTTGAACTAATAAAAACAAACCATTAAACCAAATTTGTAACATTCGTATCTTAAATTGCAGCTTGTTACATTTCACTCAGTAAAAACAAAATATTTAAGTTCCTCCTATGCATTATATTTTACATGAACAACAAAATATGATAAACATATAAAATATTTTATAAAAATTAAAAAATATATACTTTATGTGGATCATTTCAGCAGTGGTATTTACTTCATAAATTGTGAGTGGGGCTAATTTCCTAGAATTCCTGCCTTACTACTGTAATTATCAATATAAACAGGATCAGAGTACAGATGAAGAGAGATGATGTAGACACACTATAATCTGCACTAGAATAGTCATTAGGGAATTCCAAGCACATAGAATGAGCCATTCAGCCAATGAATACACTGACCATGATTTTTCTCATACATGGAAAATATAAATTATAAACAAATATGATGAGAACAGAAGGGTTATATGCATTTATACACAAACTGACTAAAATATGGTATATATAAGGGGAGATTTTAATGGTGCATTTTCCTTTGAACAATTAACTTATAGTCTAACAAATACATACCAAAAAACTATAACATGCTTTGTCAGAGGGCAGATCACAGGGAGGGAGGAAAACCCAATGGAAGTGTGTGTGAAGACAACCATAATATTCAATGTATATAGGCGAAAATATAATCAGGTAAATGGGCAAGGTTGGGACAGATGAGGTAAATATGGGAAGAGTGAGTGACATTGACCAAGATGTATCATAAAATGACATGGTGAACTAAAATCCCTTTTATAACTACTTACAGATAAAAAATAAATATTTATGGATAATGTTTAAAGAAATAAAGAAAACACAAGAAGGTATTAAAGACTAACAGAATTCCAAAGGCAATCTACAAATTCCCAGTAAAATCTATGTGTCATCTACAAATTCATATGGAACCCAAGACCTTGAATAGCCAAAAAAACTTTGGGCAAAAAGAGCAATGCCGGAGGTATCACAATTCTAGACTTTAAGAATGGCTACTGACGGTCTCAAAATTTCAGACCTTAGCATGGCCATGATTAAGAATAGAAACAACAAATGATATAGCAAAGACAAAAGTGGGAATGGGCTGCTATTAAACTATTGATAGAAAATAAACTAGTGCAACAACTACAGAATGTAGTATGGAGAATTTAAAAAAAAACAAAAACTGAAAACTACCACCCTATGACACAGCAATATCACTCTTGGGTATTATCCAAAAGAGTGTAATTCAGGATACAATAAAGACAATGTGCATCCATGTTCACACAAAATGCAATTTTGTTTGCCTATTCCCATCTTAAGAGAAAAACAAATGAAACAAAAACAATGAACAAATTAAGTGTAGAAGGAATGTACCTCAAAATAATAAAGGTCATATATGAAAAGCAGTCAACATTGGATTGGGGAAAAGATGTAAGCTTTCTAGGTTGCCCACTTTCACCAAGCTAATTCAACAGGCTGGAAGTCCTAGTAATCAACCAAAGAAAAATTAAAGTGTAACCATATTAGAGAAGAGTAAATCAGCTGGGAATGTGGCTTAGTGGTAGAGTTCTTGCCTAACATGCATGAAGCCCTGAGTTCAATTCCTCAGTACCACATACACAGAGAAGAGTAACTCCAACTGTCAATGTTTACAGGTTACATGGTCTTTTGTATAGAAATTCAGAAAGACCCTATCAAAAACTTATCAAAATAAATGAATGTACTGAATTCAATGTGCATATCAATGTAAATTACTTCAAGTGCTATTAGCCAATGCCAGATATGTGAAACTGAAATCAAGAAACCCCTTTTACAAAAATCTGAAATAAACACCAAAAACAAACAAATACCTGTTTAGGAATAAATTCAACCAAAGACTCTGAATCAAATGTTGATAGAAGAAATTAAAGAGGACAGAAAAACTGGGACGGCATCACAAAATCAATATTGGTCCTGGTGGTTTCCCTTATATGCAGTAACTAGTATATGTCTGAGACAAGCAGAAATGGTCAGATAAGTTGATGTTAAACGAAATGAACCCCAAGATAAGGACTCAAATGGTTTTGCTTTCTTGCTATTGCTTCTAACATATTTATAAGGTGATTTTTTTTGTTGCTTTGTATGTCCCTCCCCCACGGTATAACCCCTGTTTTTGCTGTATTTGATGTTGGTATAATTTGGGGAGGGGAAGGGAAAAAAACAAATTGCTTAAATAGGGATACAGATGGACCCAATGCAACAATGAAATGTACAAGATGCTATGTCGAAAAATAAACTTTACAATTTGGGGGTGGGGGAGGTGGGGTATGGGAGGGCAGGGATGATAAAGGTAAACAAAGGAGGAGGCAACAATGCTTGATAAGAAATGTACTCATTACCTTGCTCATGTAATTTTAACCCTTCTGTTTGGTATTTTCACAAAAAAAAACCTAAATATCAATATTGGTGAAAGGCCCATTCTACTCAAAATGGTCTAATGAATCTGAGCAACCCCTATCAAAACACCAATGAAGCCTTTACAGAATTAGAAAAAGCAATGCAAAATTGTATGCATTCCCACCCCTCAATAATTGCCAAAGCATTGAGCAAAAGGTACAAGTCAGAAGGTACTGATATAATAATCAAACAGAACAGTATTGGCTTCAAAGGAAACACAAAGACCATTGGAATAGAGACAATGGAAATAAACACACAACTAAATTAACTATTTTTCAACAAAGGTTTTAAAGTCCTGCATAAGAAAATGGGAAGCATTTTTAATGAATGGTCCTGGGAAAAATGGGGATCATACACAGGATGAAACCAGAACCCATCTCACCTATTACAAAGATCAACTCAAAATGAATTGATTTGAATGTCAGACCAGAATCTATTACTCAAAGAAACAATCATAAGAGTAAAAAGACAAATTACAAAATGTGTTAACAACTTTAAAAATATACCCTTGTCAATGGTCAGTATCCAAAATATACAGAAACTCAAATATTCAATAGTGACATAAATTAGATAGATAGAATTAAAATGGAATTTTGAAAGACATAAAACTGACCAAATAGTATATTTAAATGTGTTCACCATCACTAATCATTAGGAAAGTCAGATCATAATTACAATGAATTATCATCTCATTCTAGTCAGACAAGCTACTATCAAAAAGACAAAAATAACAGATGTTGGCCAGAAGGTAAAGAAAAAGAGAACTGCTATATACTGTTGGTGAAATTTTAAATCCATAGTCATGTAAAACAAGACAGTTTTCTAAAAAGCTGGAAAAAAAACCAGCTACCATATAAGACAGCTATCCCACTACTGGATGGATACACACACACACACACACACACACACACACACGGGCACACACGTGGGCACATACGTGCACATATACTCATATACACAAAGGAAATGAAAATCAACATGTCAGAGACCTCTGCAGTCCCATTACATTATCCATGTTCACAATAGCCAAGACATGGAAACAACCTAAATATCCTTCAACTGATAAATGAATGAAGAAAATGTGGCACTTATATACACATATATAACGGAGTATTATTTTGATATGAAACCCCACCATTGTAATGATGGAGAATATTAACATTAAATGAGATTAGCCAGGCAAGAAGTACTATGTGATCTCACTCATATGCAGAATATAAAAAGCTGAGCTCATGGAAGTTTGGAGTAGAATGGCAGTTACCAGAATTTAGGACAGCAGAGGAGAGAGAGAGATGGAGAAAGATTAGTCTATAGATAGGAGGTTTCACTTAGGAATAAATTCTGATGTTTTACTTCACAGTAGGTGTGGCTAAAGATAATGTTTTATAGTTTTGACAGATTTAGAATATTTTATTATAAGCAAATTATAAGCTTGAAAAGACCGATTTTTAACCTGCATCAAAAACATTATAAAATGTATTCAAGTATTAAATATCACAAACATTATAACATATACATATGTATTGAACTATCATTAAGGTACCCCATAAGTATGAATAATTTGTGTTTTTATGTATTAACCAGTATTTTAAAAATAGGTTCAAATTGCACCATCTGTATTGATTTTCCTCTGTGGTTAGGAAAATTTAAGTCATTTTCAAGATATGCATACAAAAGTGTGGGCGGATAAAGTTATAAAACATGGAATTGGTGAGAGTGAGAAAATAGTCAAATAAAAAGGAATAATAAAATAAATCACATACATTTCACTTGTATTGTTATAAACTCTTGATATAATCAGGAAAATCCCATTGAACTCTATGCTAAAAGGTAAATAATTGTACATAACTTACATAGACTTACATAGTTTTGGGGTTTCTTGTTCCATTTAACTATTAAAAATCAGCCTAAGAGCAGCGAGTAGCTCATCTACAAATGATACTAAGTTAGTGCTAAATTGATGTGCTGAACTACTGCAGATATATGTACTCTAAGTGATACTCATGTTTACTGGAACTGACTTCACTTTTTTCACAGACATACCAAGGGGCCAGCCACCACACTAAAATGATATGGGCAGGCTCAGTGATGGATCAAACTCTGACCTTTGATTACAAGTCAGGGATTCTAATATTGAAAACTAACTGTATGGATCCTGAGCATTCTCCAAGCTGAGTCATGCTAATGTCAGTATCGTTGGTTGCCTAGTCAGGTTCTCCAGCTGCAGATTGCATCACCCCCCTAAGGGACATTTGAAAATATTTAGCAGGTTTGGCTGACACAATAACTGGGGTTACTGCTGAGACTTAGAATACAAATTGATAAAGGCCTATAATGTCAGATATCAGAAAGGGACACAGTTGCTCTCCACAAAGAAGTATCCTGTGTAAAATGTCAACAGTACAATAGCTTTTGCTAAAAAATAATACTAAAGCAGACTCCCAAGATGTGGGTTGCTTTCTATTTATTATACTTGATGCCCTTACAGTTAACTCAATTTTAAAGTTCAATTCCTCCATGCTTGCTACAAGATATTCTAATATGCAGCTTAAATTTTTTTTTAAA